CAGGAATGTGGGCTTTCACCACCCAATAGCAGTTTTCTATGTCCATTCAGTTTTTAAAAATGAGAACACAGATTTTCAAAGCAAATTGGGTAAAATAGGGAGTGACCTTAAAGGAATGTTAGATTCTATGCCACACTTCCGATTCCTATCTCTGCAGAAATGTTTTTTTTTTTTTTTTTAATTTACTTATTTAACTTGCTATAGGATTGTGTGTGCTTATCAGAGAGAGTGAGAAAGTGAGAAACCACTCCCTGGGGGAATGGCCACCACTGCAGTCCCTTCACCTCTTGAGATTTGAGGCACACACGCACATAATGTGCTTTTCTAGTTGCTGGGTCTGGGACTCCAACAGTGCAGTGGGCCATGTGGGATGTAGCCACCTTAACCACCATGCCACTGACTGCCTCTTTGCAGAGATTTAAAAAAATATATTATATCCCTTCTTCTATCCTTTTCCTCACAGAGGGTCACCTGAAGCTTCAAAATCAGAGAAGAAAATTGTGCTAAAGATCCATGGGGCACATCGATCCTAGGATCTGGAATAACTTCCCTGTCATAATGACCTGAGTATTATGCCCCATCCAATTTTTATGCTGTTTATATCATTTCTCAGCCAGTTTTCATACCTAGCCAGTCATTCTTAATGAATAATTTTAAATAGAGTCATAATTTATAGGTTAGTATAATTTTTCTTAAAATGTCAGTGAAGGGACCAGCAGTTAGCGTAATGGCTATGTGGCTGGACTCCCACGTAGTCAACCATGGTTCGCTCCCCAGACCCAGTGGCTTGAAACACACCGGGCACGTATGCGTGTGTGCCCAAGATCCCAAGAGGAGAATGGAGAAGGATTGTGGCGTGGTCATCCCCCCTGGGGGGTGATTTCTCACGTTCTATCTCTCTGTCTCTGTCTGTCTGGCGAGCACACGTGCCCTATAGCAAAAACTTCTCCCTCCCAAGAAAATGTCAGTGAAATATAGAGGGTCTCTGAAAATAATGTTTTAAATAAAATTAAGTTAAATCAATCAGTATATGCAATGCAAGAGGTGAATACTTTACCGAATAAAATATCTAAGGTAAATGATAGGTTAAACTTATATAGACGTATATATCTTGGGCATACACAAATAGCATTTTATAAGCAGCTGTATCAGATTAACCTGTTGATGAATATTACCATAGTATTTGTTCAGGAACTTTGGAAACTCATTCTATACCAAATTTCATTTGGGTGTTCTATTTAACCAGCATTCCCCCCACTTGCTCCAGCAGACTTCACATCTTTGTTTTGTTTTCATTCTGGGTTCAAGTATCTCCCCTCCGGGTTTTGGAACAGAGGCTTTCACTGCAGGAGGCTTTACAGAACTGACTTCATTTTCAGACAGAAACAACCTGACAGCTCAACAGCTTTTAATGACTTGTGCCTTTGTCTTTTTCTGGACAGCCCACACAGCACTGTTTGCTATAACCTGCCACAGTAATTACCACTGAATAGAGCAATGCAGGCAACCTCTCCACTCAACTCAGGGCTTTGCTTGTTCAGCTATCGCTGCCCTCAGGACCACCGCACAGATAAAGCGTGCTATCTGTTCCAGTCTCACATGTTTGATAGCCTGTTTTGCTTTGTGGGCCTCATAAGGAATGCTTGACCCAAACCAAATAAATGAGATCCCTAATAAGAACATGATAACCGTCTCCTGCTTTTATTTGAGACAATGGAGCATGCAAGTGAGCGCAGGAGAGAGCAACCATAGGCAAGTTTGCAGTTCCTCGCCTCCCGTCCTCATACAGCTTCAGGAGTGTCCCATTGGCACAGAATTCCAAGTGACACATGATGTATCAGAGAGGATTCAACAGAACTCAAAGAACAAGGTGAAATGGTACATCTAAGACTTCCTAAGGAGGAGTGAAGGCAGAGATGAGAGTCTAAGAGGTCACAGTTTTGATTTGAATGAAAACTTGCTTTAAATGCAAGAAGTCAACATTTTAATAAATATGAATGGCCAAGGAATCTTATCATAATACCCACTCCCCCCTCCTTTTTTTTTTACGTTTTTTTTTTTTTTTGTCATAGGTGTATGTACTTACTAGAGAGAGACAGTGAGAAGTCACTCCCCAGGAAGAATGGCCATGTTGTAATCCCTTCTCCTCCAGCTTTCCTCCTGAGGTTTTGGGCATGCACACACGCATACCTGGCGTGATTTTCAAGCCACCAGGTTTGAGACATGAATGATGGTTGGCCATGTGAGAGTTGAGTGTCCTAAGCACTCCGCCATCTGCTGGCCCCATGTTATCCTCTTACTCATGTTATTTTGCTCTATTAGCTAGCCACTCTTGTTGAAAATGACCACATAGAAAAACAAAGGAAGACAGGTAACAATGGGTTACCTTTCCTTTTAGAACTTCTTCCTTTATAGGTACCCCCCCCCAACAAAACAAAACAAAACAGAGAGAGAGAGAGGGAGAGAGAGAGAGAGAACACTGGTAGAATGTGCAAGTATCAAGGAGTGAAATAAATAGTGAGGTAGTTTTGTGCAGCACTTACTATTTTGGTAAGAACCAAATACATCTGCATCATTTATGCACTCCAAAATACAAATCACATAATGTCAGCACTTCCTCTTAGGGGTTAGAAGCTTTGACATTTGTACTTTTTTTCCCAAACAAATTTACTTAATATTGATAATTACAAAATTTCACATGCAACACACCGCCATTATTATAGGATTTGGACTTCTACAGGAAATACGTAAACAGGCATTCTGCTTTTCTGTTAATATTCTGCCTTCTTGGAACCAGCAGTTGGCGTAATGGCTATGTCGCTGGACTCCCATGTAGTCGACCGTGGTTCGAGTCCTGGACCTGGTGGCTTAAACTCACTCCAGGTGCATGTGCGTGCGTGCCCAATATCCCGAGAAGAGAATGGAGGAGAAGGGATTGCAGCGTGGCCATCTCCACTGGGGGGTGATTTCTCGCCTTTCTGTCTCTCTGTTTGTCCCTTTCTGGCAAGCGCCCACACCCTATAGCAAAAACCTCTCAAAAAAAAAAAAAAAATGCCTTCTTAGAAACAGGTGAAAAATAGTGACCCTAATTTCCAACCCAGAAAATCTAAATCATCATATTCTTTTAAGTTCCAACAGGTTCTTAATATGAGAACAATTACAATCTCGATTTTTTGCCTCAACATTTTTCTATGAAGTCTTATTGTTGACCAAAGAAGATACAGGTTTCTCATTAAACTTTGTTTTAATGGGTCTCAAAATTCTATGACAGATTTTTGGTCAAGTTGTTTCCATCAAAAAGTACTGATTTTAAAAGTTAATAACTTAAAATTGCCACGCACAAAACCAAAATAGTCCATAAAGATTTTCCTTTTCTTCTGAAAAGTATTACGATGCATTGTTATCATTTGCATTTAAAACTAGCATTGCACAGTATATAGATAAACGATTTCATGCTAATAACTTTGAATTTTAATTTCTCTTAGAATGACATTAAATAACAAGTAAAACAAGTTAACAGGAGAGACATGGAAGAAACAAAAAGTTCATATTTTTGTATCTTTAGTGACAAATTTTTTGTGTTTGGAAGAAGAGGCCCAGCATTTGTATTTTGTACTCACCCTGCAAATTATATGTACCATCTCAATCAGACACTTGAAAGGCCTTTTTAGTCAATCTCAGAATCTACTTCTAGAAAACAAAGGTAAATCTCTAGTTTGCCCACATCGTTCTCACTGTGGCAGAGTCTCTTAAAGTAAACTTTCTGGTTCCTTCCTTGATATAGATTAATTTAATTATGTCTAGGAGACATTTTTAGAAAGACCTGAAATACCAAAAAACAAAGCAAAACAAAAAACCAATACCAAAACCAAACAAACAACAGAAAAGCACATAAGCTGAGGATAATGCCATAATCCAAGACATATATAAGGTTGTTGGGAAAATTGTAGTGATTTTTTCTCTATGTTTTTCTATGCAAAAATGCATCCTGACCTCCCTGACAACCCAACAGTTCAATGAGCAATTTAAAAATAATTTGGTTATGATCACGGTCATTTTGCATAAAGCGTAGGCTGTTACAACCAATTATAAATTGGAACAGATGTCAAGACCTGGGTACATGGGTTGGCTCTCACTGCTCATTAAATATTTCCAACATACAAGTATTTCAGCAGTCTTTGTGGCCCACTGGGAACAGAGACCTGGCAAAATAAAACAACTGAAAAACAAGATTTCTGTTTCTGCTCTGCACTATGAAAGTGTTCATGGACTTGTTGCAGCCTCGAAACATATACATTGTAGAAGCTGGCAGAAATTTGGCCAAAATGTGTTACTTCTTAATTTAGAGATGGTACATAATTAAAATGTTAATGTAAGAAAAGTAATGTAGAATGCCATTTCTTTTTTTTTTTGGAGAGGTTTTTTTTTTCTTTTTCTTTTTTTTTTTTTTTGCTATAAGGCGCTTGCGTTCACCAGACAGACGGAGAGAGACAGAG